CTGAGAACGAATTGAGAGGTCCACATTTGTTTTGTTCCGTTGTAAATCTTTTCTTTCCTGCTGAATCTTTTTTTATTAGTTTAAGGCCTTATGTGTGGCGGTTCTTTCAAAAATCTTATTTTTGGCAACATTACGGTGAATTTATTTTTAGCGTTCAAAAAGGAGCTGAAGGATGCCGAGAGGAAAACAGAAATATACCATGATGCACTTAAAACAATGAACAAGGTGAGAGAGGAATCTATCCATTCTATTATTGGTTAAAGTTGTTTCTTTAGGTTTCAATAGAAAATTCAATCCACTTCGATGACCATCAGTTCCTGGACATCAAGGTGAAGTATCAGCACCTCCAATTATGTATAAATCCCTATTTTCACGTTGCTCTGATTGGGATTTGCAGAATTCGCATTTGAAGAAAGCATACCGGGATATGTCCAACCATATTGATCGACTTCATCAGAAAATCAAGGAGGACAGCGCTATCCCATTCGAAAATGAGCGTGTAAAACGCCTGTGGAAAGCGGTAATGAATTCTGCCACTTTTTCAATGGTTTTCACTCAGTTTAATACGAGAATGCGAGACTTTTTGAAGAGTGAGCTACCTAACGAGTTTTCTCTCACTTAGGGAAATATTCGAAGGCATTCTCATGCATAACTAGAGGTGACGCAGAGGATGCGTATGGCGCAATGATCGCAGGCATCCCGCAGTACTCAAGGGATCCGTCCCCCGCTTCAGGTTCACTAAGCCTTCTATCACTCTGGATCGGCAAATTGGTGCTAGGCTTTTCTGGGAAGATGGAAACACTGTCTCGATACAACGTTAGACCGCCGCAAGTTATTGCAAAGCCCAGATATGCGCTCAATCACTTTGAACGGTGCATAGTGAAGTCGAATACATAGCGCATCCCATACGGCTTAATCAACGCCGAGAGGTTTCTACTTTTTTCCTTTAACTATAGCATGTTGATCTAGACTGCTGGGTACTCGTGTTTGTGGTGGCAATACTTTATTTCAACGTGTAAATCTTCTACACTTTATAGGCGCTTGCCAATGGGAACTTCTCCCAACACGATCGAGACCTGTTGAAGGAGGAACTACAACATTTCGACAAGCAGCTGAAAAAAATCGCTTTCCATAAGGTTTTTAAAATTCTCTAGTTATTCTGTCTAGTCATCCTATAGGTAATATTATATTCATTTTGCTTCTATGAATTTATCATAATTCTGATGGAAATATCTCGAAATCCCACCTAATTAATACGCTGTGCTTTTTGACTCTTCGGGAGTAACTATTGCACTTTGCAGAACGAGCTGGACGCCCGTCGATTAGAACGAGAAAAACAGGGGAAAATGACTTTGCATGTTGTCGAGGACGTAGAATTGGAAGCAAGGCACGAAAAAATGGAGAGGAAATTAAGAAAAATGGAGAAATATTTAGATTCAAAGACCCGTCATTTGGAGCTGTAGATCGAGTTTTCCTAAGACTTCTCATTTTATGAATCTGCTATCTCCTACTCTTCGTACTGTTTTTCCGCCTTTTTCTGTTTCATTCATCTTTTACATCTCTACGTTCTTTTCCTTTTGTGACATTCCAGTAGAGGTGGTTTTCATGGTGCACCACGTAATCTACTTCTATACGGTTTGGGAAATACATTAAAGATGCATTTTATTGGTGCGCCTGCATTTTTTTCTTAATATTACCCCTTATTCTAGAACGGGTATGTTTCCAGTTTTAGTATTCTCCTTAAAGTATCTACCCTACCAATAGAGTTTTGCACAATTTTGCACTTGTTGTCACATTAATGACGTCATTGATGTATGGTGCATTCTGTTTCTGAGCTGGTTGGACTGATGACTAGGGTTACGACAAATATCCATGCCTTAAGATTCACTGAGGCATTTCTAGTGAAGGGTTGTGTTCGAAGTTTTTCGAGAAATTCTTTCGATCTCATAGTAGTCTTCGTCTGAACTATGCACAACTTCTACTGACAACTGAGGTTCAGTTTAGAAGTATTTGCAACTTTGGATTTACATTGATAGCGAGGAATTAAGCGGAGTAATATACGTGTGTTCAGGTGTTTCTCTCCTTTTATTTACTATCGTTCAGTTATTTAAGTGGCCCTGAAATGCAGCGCAACGTTTATCCGCACTATCTGTGAGGACATACAATCCCCTCGAACACAGCAAAAGTGCTTGGACCACTAGTTTTTATTCTTTTTGTTGTAATAATTATTTTCGACGCGTCTCTCAGTCGTGTGGCGAAGGCTCTGTGATGTATTGAACGGCGTTGTTTCATGTCTGTCAAAATAATGTCTTCCTTTACCCTCCGTTGTGATAGTAGTTGTATTGTGTTCTTCGTTTTATGTGTTTTCAAAATTTGTCCACCGAGAATTTTCTCATCTTTTTTATATGTGGATGTAAAACTGCCTTGCCTTAAATTCGTCTATGGTTTATTCACTATCTAGTGGTTCATAATAAATGTAACTATTACATCTATTTAATTTTTTATACTTTGTCATAAAAGGTGGATTGCTAACAGTAGTGTAACCGATTTCACACCGCATTAACCATTGCTTTCCATGACGTTCCGATTCCTTGTTGGAATTTAACGACTACCTTCCAACGGTTTACTGCCTCATCGCAGCCTGCAGGTGTTCCTAGGTGTCGGGCTGCGATGTGCAGCGCGAGATTCATCTAATGGCTGGGTCTACCAAGTTCGGTATGCATATCCAGAAGGTTCGAATTAACGTAAGTGGTTCGAGTAGAAGCCAAGTAAATCCTTAGATTCCTCATCGTTGTTATGCGCTCATAACAACCTGATATGGTCCATTTGCGTGCGTGCCTTGCAGGTTAGCAACCCATGATGCTTACGCTCACTATGCATTCGACTTTGTTAATGGCCGTAAGTGACAACTAAATGCATATCTTTCCCAGACAAACACTTTCGGTAACCTACCGATGTATCAAGTTAGTGTTGTATCCTCCCAAACTGGGTTTGTCAATCCCGCAAGCATGAATGGCTTGGTGAACCGGGGCGAGACAATAAATGGAAAGCAAATTGTGGATTGCACGACATTACTAACCACTGAACAATTCGCACGACCAGTTCAAATAAGTTGCAGAAATTGGAATGCAGTCTTATAACCAGCTATTCGAATAAATTTACCGCATACTGTGTTTTCGATTTTCTTTTCACATTATTCCTCACTGCATTAACATCAGATTTTCACACTCCATTCAGTTGTACTTTGAGGATGTAAATAAATTCAGAAAAATATGCGTCTCGGAGCACGTGAAGTTATTTTGTTTCATTCCTGGACATGAGGAGTAGGACAGCGCAGTGGCAGTGATACCGATCATCGCTAAGACGGTGCTGGTTCGACTTCGCACTTGGTCGCAAACCTTCCATTCCTTCGGGGTCGGGAAATTAGTATCTGACTTGTTTAGTAAAGTCTTAGTGGAAATTCAGCTCTAGCCCGACTATCTCAGGAATCCCTGAGAAGTCCACTTAACAACGGTTGAACAGGCATTCATGACGAAAGAATAATCGTAACCGCACTTGCAAAGAGTGAAGATCTTTGTGGATTGCAGGTGTGAAGAAATGAATCGAATGCATTCTGTGCTGGGATCCGTAGAGTAGACCTGAAGAAAGGACAAGCTGCGTACGGACTATCTAATCTAAACATTAGAGTTCCAAAATTGCGCCATCGATTGAACTGCCGTCAGAACGACATAGGCAGGTTGCATCGTCGATCTAATCCGTCTGTCTATTTGGATGTAGATAAGGATCATGTTACGGTTTCGATTTGAACAGAAGCGTATGCATAAGATGGTCTGATTATCAACACGATACTTCAATTCCAGTCGCAGGCAAATTAGTTTCCTCTCTGTAATTCGTGTAGTATTTCTAAGATTCACCGAGGTGATTTTCACTGCAACTTGAAGGACAAAATTTCAAAATAGGGAAACTGAACAGATTTATTTGCAGAGGATCGTTACATTTCTGTTGGAAAGATCAATGAGTTCAGATACTCGTCTTCCACACACTCTTTGTAATACCTTATGACATGATGGAAAGTACTAGTAACGTCATAGATGATTTTAAACTTCCCACTTTCATCAACGATAATCCTCCAGCGGCCCACTTTCGCATGGTTTCCTCGCGAAAACCGCTCATTTGTGTAAAACTAGAAAAACGGATTCGTTTCGCAGATCGTAGTATTGTTGTTCTTGTGCACCATAGAGTACAATTTTGACAACTCACATACACTTGAATGTGAAAGTAGTATGTCTTCCTAGCGATGGCACGGACCAACAAATACGCCTCACTTACGTAGACAGTCAAAGTCTAAACGGATTGTTTTTTCTCCACACCGATCAATGAGTTGGTCGAACCCGTCACCAATTCCATTTGGCAACATTATGGCAGGTTTCAGCAGACCCCAATAAAGAACTGCATTTAGAACCTTTTAGGCGATGTGTTTTGTTGAACTTAATGTATTTAAAATCAACTTTTTCGCGAGCAACAATGCTAACATACGTCTTTTAACGGTGGAAGGAGCTTTCGGAGAGTTTCGATGCCCAATTGAGCAATATCCAGTTGTGCAATACCGTCGTAAAGGGCATTGTAGTTAGTTAAGTTGATCCGTTCACCGCCAGTGTAGTAGCGATGTATCATCGCTACTTTCGATCGAAAACACGGTTCATTCGAAGTAACACTGACGAAACAGTGCAGCGTACAAATGACATATGCCACAACGATTTTCATCTGCAAATGTCTCATTTACAAGCGTTTTTCTCCCCGGAATAGTGAGTGTAACGAGGAATAACGAAGAACAAACGAAGTTGGACAGATTCAGTAGCCCGTTGCGCTTCCCAAGCAAAAAGGCAATTCAGGAGCAGGACAATCATCGGTGAATGCAAACGTCTAAGCGAATTTTTTGGTTGGAATACGTGAAAGTTAAAGAGCTTGAGAGTTGAGAGAACGTCAACGTTTATGCTGCAAAAGGTATAATACAGAGGAAAATAATTAAAAGGGACCGATTTTCATTTAAGTTAGAATTCGTCTCGAACAACGATCC